TCCCCACCCACTCCAAGATGAAAAAGGTTACTAAATCCACTGGCTTCCTCTATAAATCATCATTACTCTATTTGAGCTCTTTTTCTTAGACTAAAAACTTGTAAAACAGCTTATTTTTGGAGGCTGAAGGTAGTGAGAAGCAGCTCTGGGCTATTAACTAACCAGACGCAAACTCAGAAATGTGCGATTCCAACTGATTTTTTTAAGCCCACCTCCTCTGTTCTCCTGGCTCTAAAGGCAGTCACCATTTAATGTTCAATGCTTAAAAGGAGCAGGGAGAGAATGAATAGACCAAGGTCCATGAAGCTTCACAAAGTACAACTGTGCCATTAAAAATAACTAGTGTATTAGGGGTTTAGTTCACATGGCAGCCTAGCTGAACAATGAATCTACGCTTCTTACCGTTATTTTTGCCCTCTCTTCCTTTCAGAAAAAGCAAAGATGCAAAGGCAAGAGATAAAAAACGGCAGTCTACTAGATTATAAACTACTCTTATAGACTACTATAAAAATTAAACACATGCACACACTTTTTCATATCACTGAATGCAAGTCCAAAGACCTTACTGGTAGTAAAATCTATGTTTTAAAACTAGTGCATGTTCAAAGCTGTTTCCTAAGTTGCCTAGGTATTCTTAAGTTGTATTTCATATTTCCTGCCTTTCAGTTCAATAGTGTATTGAACATCTACAATGTGCTACACTCTGTTCTGGGTACTGGGGATTCAGATACATTACATACAGTCTCTGACCTTGAGGAGCTTGTAATGAGGTAGGAAAGAATATACTGCATATACAATTTTAATAAAAGGTGGTTGGTGTAACAGTGAAAGAACACTCAGGGTGATATTGGAACACAGAGTAAAGCATGAAAGAGGGCAGGGAAGGTTTCCTGGAGGAAATGATGCTCCATGTGAATCCTGGTGAAGCAGAGGCATTTAACCCCAGGGAGGACTAGTCCAGGCAGAAAGAAGAACAAGTCCCTAAGGCACAGAAGCATGAAACATTAAGATCGGCACTGCCCATGGTGGGGGTGGCTGGGAACGCCAAGCAACTTTGCATTTCTGGAAACTAAATGAGAGGCACAGAGTAACAGAAGCCTATGTGCTTAAAAAACCCTATGTGCCATCCTGGCCTGTAGGTGGCCAGGTGCCACTGAAAGGTCCAACTAGAGGAACGACCCAGACAGATGTGGGTTTTAGATATGTTGCTCTGGCAAGTTAAGGTTCAAGATGGCATTTCAGAAGGTGAGAGGAAGTACAGGCTAGTGGCTGCTTCCTACAGCCTAGAATCTCCAATGTCACTATTATGGATGAAACTATTCCTGAATGTCTACTCTACAACTATTCTGGGAGTGTCATGAGATCACTGGACCTGGGGAACAGTCTGGAAGTTCAAGTACACCATCGGCCACTGAAGTTCTGTCCCTTAGTGACCCCCCCCCCCTGAATCATAGACTGCCTTGATGGTTGGCTGTATAATTA